AATATTTGTAGAAGAAAGTAGACTACACGAGATTATATATATATATATATATAAATAGGGATATATTATATTTATTTATTAACATTTAATACCCAAATTAGTTTACTTTGACACAGTTACAATTAATTTTAGTAAAGAGTAATGGTATTGCTAGTAGCAATCCAAAATTTGTTGTGGGAAAAAATAACTAGTAACTATTTGCTAGTTCCTTCAAAAGGTTGAGCCCTGTTGATTGATATAAAAAGTTTTTCTTAAAAAATGTTACCACCAACATCTTAAACATACTTACATCGACAACCTTTTCTATGAACAGTACTAGCGTGTGGAAACTAATTTTATTTCCAAGACATAAAAAAGGGGCCGTTTCCAAATCTAGGCTGTTTTCTACTACCACCCTACTTCAAATTTCAAATAAGAAACCCCTTTTCTTATATCAAACTCTGATCTTTATAATACTCATTGAATCTCTTCTTAAAGTCTTTCATTATTGCAGCTTGTACTGCACCTTAAAGTAAACTATTTGATATGCTGGCCAACCTGTTAGGAAAGTGGCACTGCCTAATTGTCTGTGTTTTCTGCATTTTAAACTTGTGCTTTAATCTTACTGCCTACAGATTTTTGTAAGAAAATGTCATCTAGATCTAACAATATTACAAAAGGCTCAAAATGTTCGCTTAAATCATTTCCTCTCCAGCAAAAACATGTTAAAAAATTTCATTCGCATCTAAACCTGGATTCTTCATCTACTCTACATTCATTCTTAAAATATAATGACAAAAACTACAAAAAATATTCCAAATGAATTATGATCAGTAACCTCATTTATTTAGAACTAATGATCTTCAATTGTATTCAGCATTTCTGTATGTTCTGTCTAAAATCCTGTTTTCCTTGTTACTAGCTAACTTATTATTTTTCTAATATATATTCTTATACCATTTTCCTCATCAACTACACCTAGAGTTTTCCCTTCCAAGCTGTAGGGATAATTAATATTGTTATAATCAATATTCTTAGACTTACTTTTATTAAGATTAAAAGGCACTTGACAGTTGTTACTTTAGCTCACCAAATACCCTAAATCTCTCTGCAAATCTTCATCTTTAGTACAGTTAAACATCCATTAGTTTAATATTAATAAATATAACCAATTTAATGTCTATTCCATCATGATTGTCATTAATGAAAATGAGAAATAGTAAAGGATTTAGTGCAGAACCTTGAGTTTACCACTTGCAATATTAATTCACTGAGTGTACTTTATTTATAACTTCTTTCTCCCTCCTGCTGCCCAACCAACCATCATTCTTTTAACTTTCTTATTTCTTGACCCAGCATATGCACTCCTCTCAAGAAGTACTATGCAACACCTTATCAAAAGCTTTCTGAAATTCCAAATACACCAAATCCACTGCATTCAGCATAATTTATGAATGTAAATATACAAGTGTAAAATTTTCAAAAAATTATGTAAATTTATAAGATATGACCTCTTTACAAATTCATGCTGACCATCTGTGGTAATACAAAACTTGTTATAAATGGCCTTGTAGATTTTTTTATATTCATAAACTAATTAATTTTTCAACCACTGAATAAAGACTAACTAGTCAGAAATTACTTCAGATAATGTGATAATTTTTGTGAACATTTGTGTGATAATGTCTGAATTACAATTTCTGGCACACAACCAAGTTATGGTTATATAATGGCTCATTATAAAAAAGTTATTATAGGATAAATATTATCTGGCTCAGGTGCCTTATCTTTCAATTTTCAATCTTGATGTTGCCAGCTCAACCATGGAATTTACTAGACTATTTCATCTCATTAAACAATAATAATTATCTAAGATAGTAAAATCCTTATCATTCATCATGTCTCTAATATTTTTTTTCAGAAAAAGTTTCCACAAAATGTATGCAGGCAGTAACAGAAAATTCCAGCTCCCAGATCTTGGTGTTTCAACTGAGCTACAAGCCATTATTTTAGATATTGCTTCCCACAGTAATTCATCTCAGACAGGTATCACATTTCAGTAAAATGGCACAAGATTGTTGCTAGTTTGAAAATTACTAACCTTTAGATCAGATCAATTCCAAGCTGAATATTAGACAAGTGTGTATTGGTTTAAACAAGTAAGTTTAATGTAGGAATAAGGTATACTCTATCATGATACCTTTATACCAATCACCTGAATTTTACCATAACTATCATAATTGCTTAGTAATTGATTTTGTCCCATAAATTTTTGTTTTCTTCAACCAACATACTACAGCAACAGATTTGAGATATAAATAATTTAAAGATAGAAAGTTGTTCATTTCAAAAATAGAAGCACAAATTGGCTTCAAAACTTTGTAAAATTTACAGGATCAATTTGTTATTATATTTTTCAGCAGTGCAGCTAGATATTGATGACAACAAGAAACGGTGGCTGGTTGTTGGTATATGTCTCCATAACGTTGTAAGTCCATCTCTCAGGAAATATATAGCACCTATGATGGAAAAATTATATGTGAACCTTAAAATGTCTGAAAAGATACACCAACAGTCTTACGACAGCTACCTTAAAAATACCCAGCAGCTAAGAGTATCTGCCTAAACTATGAAGCCATTAATAACAACCAACAGCAAGGTCGAAACTACAAAAGTTATGACTACCGGGTTAATAACTCCATTGATCTTTCCAAGTTGTTTCTTCAGACTCACATGGCATGCTACATTGGGTTTGATGACACTTGTGACTCTTCTGCTCTTTTAGGCATTATTATTAGAGTTGATGTATTCCCTCAACTTGTGAAGAATAATGCCAAACATGTACGGACTGATGTCCGGAACCCCTGGGCACACTGCAATTTCACCATGTGGGACATGATCAAATTCCAGTCATCTCTCCAGTTGATGGAACAGCTGATTAGGTCTTTAAATCTCCCATCAACTGATGAAGACATTGCACTTGGAGATCTTCTCAAATGGAAAATGAATGGTAAGTCAGTACTTATCTACAGTTAGACATCAGAAACCACAGACAATAAACTCAAATGATTATTTTAATGTACATTCTTGGATTTTACTTATAAATATTCCAAGCATAATGACCATATCATTGATCTTCAAACAATCAAATTGCATTGTAATTATAATAAGTCTATCATTGTGTTCTAGAATGAAATAACACAAATTCCAGTTACTGTATTGAGATTAGTGAATTAGCTGTTTTTTATCAAGAACTATTCAGTAAGTTTCTTCATTAATTCATTTTTAATGTGTTTTAAATTAAGAAATGATTTCTATTACACATTATCAAAACACCATGATATATATTTGTTTAATAATGTTTCTTCTTTTTTTTAAACAGGGCTAACATTTTTGAGTGGCTCAACAATTGGGCTGGAGTTACTCTCATCCCTCAGGGATGAAACTTGGTCTTTGGCAGAGTTTGTCATCACACTTTCATCTGGTATGAAGAATGAGTTTGAGAGAGTACACAATGAAATAACTTGTGTTTATGAAGACATAAATAGTGCAGTGGAAAGGGTAGAAAAACTAGATACATTACAAAGCAAGCAGGAGAAAACGATTGAACAATTGGTAGATAAAACAATTATTTTAGAAACAAGCCAAAAGTTGACCACTGATCATGTCATGTTACAAGATAACAAATTAGACAACATAAGGTTTCAGATATCAGAATTATCAGACATGCAATCAAGTGAAAATGTTAGAGTGTCAAGTGTTGAAGATAGCCAGAAAAAACTGCAGAAAGAAATTGGTGTTATAGCTGAGCAATTAAACAGTCTTTCACTATACCGAGATAATTCGAGACCAGCAAAGCTATTTTTTCAGCCTCCAGATAGAATTCAGTCATTTATTGGCCGTGAGCAGGAATTACTAAAAATATATACAGGATATAATGAACATAGTAATATATTTCATATTCAGGCTATTACTGGACTTGGTGGAAGTGGTAAAACGACCCTAGCAATCGAGTTTGCATGGCTTTTTCAAGAGTCATATTCAGGTGGAGTATTCTGGTTTTCAGCTGAAAATGATACTGCTCTTGAAAACTCACTGAGAAATTTGGCAATTGATGCACAGACTGTTGGGAGAGACTCAAAGGATACAACAAGGCTCACTTTAAATTGGGTTACCTCCATTAAAGAACAGTGGATGTTGATTGTTGACAATGTTGATGAAGAAGATCTCTCCTTGGAAGTGAGAAACCTTTTACTGGGAGCATGGAAAAGAAGCTCCTGTGGTCATATTCTATTTACAACTAGAAGGGAACCAAAAGACCTGTCTGAGCTGATTCATATTCCAGAATCTGATTGCACAGACTTGACTGCTTTGTCTGTTGATGAAGGTGTACGTTTTATGGCAAAACGAACTGGAATGGCTATCAGCGATAAAATGGAAGAACTTGTTCTGGAATTAGGAGGTCTTCCATTGGCTCTAGAGCAGGCAGCAGTCCATATCAATGTGATACAATGTGACTTCAAAGAGTATTTGAATAAGTTTAAGAAGAGTCATTTAAAGCTTTTAAAGAAAACTATTTCCACTACTGTAAACACTATGTCGAAAGATCGCCTTACGGTGAGAACTACTTGGCAAATGAACTTTGATTATATATCAAAACAGTCTGAAGTGGAGAATTATGGTAAAGCTGTGCCTTGTGTTATGGAGATTGCTGCATTTCTCTATCCAGATAACATTCCAGAACAAGTGGTCAATATGGGAGATCCACCTGTGGAACAAGAAGACTTAAGAAGAGTTCTTGAGGACCCTGTTGACACAAAAGATGTTCTTGGTATCCTCACGAGATTCTCATTGTTTCAGAGATGTGATAATGGGGCTGTTCGTGTCCACAGACTTGTTCAAGAGGTCATTCGTGAGAGTATCACTGAAATTGATCACAAAATGAATATTCTGCAAAGTGCAACACGAATGTTAAATAGAGCATTTAAAAAGACAAAGTGCCCAGATGATATCCTAAGGGTAGATTGTAATGAATCCAAAAACAGAGGTGCCCTCCATCTATGGAACAAACTGGCAGTAAATGCATGTGAGTTACAAAAACACTTGTTTTTCTTTATAAAAGATAACAAAGAAGTAAAAGAATTGTATCTAAATCCAGAAACCATCAGACTTCTACACGAAGCATCTATTTTCCATAGTGTTCATCAGAGACAAAATGAGGCTATGGCAGCACAGGATCAGATGCTGACTATGGCAACAGCTAGCAACCTAGCAAAAGAAGACTTCACAAAAATAACCACAATCAAAGTTCCTCTATTTGAAAAAGAACGGTTGAGAGTCCAAAGCAGTATGGCATCAGTACACTCTTCTGGTGAGATTGGTGAAAAGTTTCTCACTGATGAAGATCTTAGAGAATTGGGAAACACTGCTTTCAATGATGGGAAATTTCAAGAGGCGCTCCAGTTCTACACTGAAGGAATACACAGTAGTATTGACAGCAAAGTAGACTATAGGTTGTATTCAAATAGAAGCTTGTGTTATCGCCGTTTAGGAGACCATGAAAAGGCATTAGAGGATGCAGATCGTTGTATTGAGGCAGATTCTAATCACTGGAAGGGTCACTGCTGGAGAGCATATGCCATTGCTAATCTAGTCAGATTGGAAAAACTACCACAGAGTATGAAGCCATCAGGAATGGCTTCTGCTAGCATTGCATCACATCTCAATCCGCCATGCTACCATGCTTTATATATGCAAAGGTATTATCCAAATCTCACATTCAAAGTTATAAAAGGTCCATCAGAATTTGATTCCGAAATAAAAACATGGGACAACCCTTTCAAAACACTTTTGCTTCCAGCTGGAAAATATGAATTTGGAATATTCTTTGTAAGGAAAAGTGTACAGTTGGTTGGACTTGATAAAAATGTTGCAGTTATTATTAAGAATGATTTACCTCTGCAAATTTTTGATAATGCATTTATAGAGAAATTCATCAGTAATATTTTTATACACTTTGAAAGTGTTAACTTTACTTGTGAAGGTAAATCCATGAATGTCAATGGTAGAAATGTAATGTCATTTTATCGTTGTCACATGTCAAATGGAAAACCTGGATGTGAAAATTTCCCTTACTGTAAAGGAGGCCATGGCTGTATAAACAGTGACCCAGCTTTGTGTAAACAAAAGTCAGAGAAATCTTCTTCTCAAAGGGAGTTTTACTCTAGAGTTTTGGGAAGCCCGTGTAGTGGTGAATGTGGATACCCTGGAATAGAATCCATAAATGGTGGCAGTGTATTTTTGGATAGATGTGTCTTGGATCGCTGTGGAGGAGGAGGTGTGCTCTGTGATGGTGAAGGATCTTATTTAAAGATTACCAACAGCATTATCAAGAACATGAGGCAAAGTGGAGTTGAAGTACGCAATGGTGGTATTTTACATGCATTGAACAATGATATAGTAGATAATCAATTACATGGTGTGTTAATTGGGCCAAATGGTAGAGGACACATACTTGGAAACAGTATTAAAGGAAATAAATGTGAGGGTATATTGTGTACTGCGGAATCTATGGGCACCATAAAAAATAACTTGATTTGTCATAGTGGAAAATGTGGTATATCATGTGATGGTGGATCTTATGAGATAACTTCTAACAAGATATTTGACAACTGGTTCTGGGGAATAATGGCAAAAACTAGGTCCTCTTGTATGGTCGTGAACAATGATATCTTTAACAACAAGTGTGGTGGAATCCGAATTGGAGTAAACTATTCTGCTGTTGTTTTCATAGATGGAAACACCATCCATGACCATCCAGGTCCAGCTGTGTACACAATGCCCATACCAGACTTTCCATTTGATTTTCATGACAGGTACCGTTCATCAGACGAGATGTTTAATATTTTTGGTATTCCTCATGGTGATAGTAAAGTGTTTACAAATCCTCCAATTCTTACTAACAGAAATAACTTTCTGAATAACACTAGTGAAGCAAGGCATCCAGTTGAAGCAGTTGAAGTTTTTGCTGTGTGTTCATTTTGTCGTGCATCTTTAGGTAGTTTGAAATTGTGTGGGAAATGTCGAAAAGCTAGTTACTGCTCAAAGGAATGTCAACGTAGCCATTGGGATCATCATAAACATATGTGTGCTCTCTTGAGAGGATCATTCTCAGTGCCTATAAGAATGAGCGAAACTACATCATATAAAAAAGGTGAATATGTTTTTAGAACATTTGATCATTCTTTGAAAGGCATCATGGAAGGCCCACCTCCAGATCCAAAAAGTTCAAACAGATTTATTGTGAAGATTCAGTCAGGTGAAGAGTACTATCCATATAATCCCCAAACTCTTCTTTCATTGTATGATCAGAGTACAAAGTTGGACATACAATTTTCCAACAGCATGATCTATCATTTAATTATGGAATGTGGTGTGCTTGGTTCCAATAAACTTTCATCCAAGAAGATTTTTTGTTGGGCATCGTTCGAAGAAAATGGATTGGTGCTGAGAATTTATACAGATAACCTACCACCATTTCAGAACTGGTGAAAATAGTCTTTGAATTACAATCATGTAGTCATGTGTTATGATATAAAGCAAACTATTACTA